GGTTTGGGTCCTTTGTCCAATCTATATTTGGGTAATCTTTTTCTCTGAAGTAAGCTAAGAGCTCCTAGTAAAGGCTGACACTTCAGTCTGATATTTGGTTTATATAATCTGGGTTGATGGTTCTCTATTCAGACCAGTTCTGACTGACATGATTTCACAGACTGTTGTCTGTGCACTACAGTTTATTACACCAATGGAGAGTGACAGCTGCACAATGAGAATGTTGTGTGATCTAGGGTCGGTAGATAGCAAGTAATTGAATAGTCATGTAACCGCATGAAATTTTAGCAGTTACATGATTATGTGATAGTCTCCATAGGTGGTGCCAGCAGCCAGTGAACTTCCAGCCCCGCTCCTGGGGAGCCCCCTGCCATCCCAGGATGCTGCCTCTGTATTAGAGGCAGCAATGCAGAGTGGCAGGTGGGAACTGGTCCGCAAAGGGAGACAGTTTAAAAACCAGCTCCTCACACAGACCGACTCCCGCCTGCTGCCTTGCGCAGCTGCCTCTGTATCAGAGGCAGAAGCATGGCAGGCCAGCAGCCCCTGTCCGCAGGGCATCTGAGCTCCCCGCAGGTAGAGCTGCTCCATGGCAGCAGCCCCTGTCCGCAGGAAGTTTGGACCTCCCCATGAACAAGGGCTGCTGCAGTGGGCCCAGGCTCACTGTGGACAGAGGCTGCTCCATGGGATTCCGGAGCAGCCTCTATCCATGGGGAGCTCAGATCCCCCCACCAACAGGAGCTGCTCCACAACAGTCTCCCTTGCCCCCTTCCAACACTGCTGCCTCTATTAGAGGCAGCAGCTGCTGGCTTTTAGGCTGGCTCCCTCCCGCACTGGCTACTGTCTCTCCTCCCACCCCACTGCCTCTGTAGGAAGCAGCAAGGGGGAGGCAGGTGTGTCTGCAGAGTTGGCACACACGGGGAACCTGCCTACATGCGGGGAACCAGCTTTTATCTGCTCCCATCTGCCCCCCTTACCCTCCACGCTGCTGTCTCTCTATCAGAGTCAGCAGCATTGGGGGGGGGGGGGGAAAGCTTTTAAGCCAGCTCCTCACAGGCACAGCCCCCCCCTCTCCTGCCGCTCCCCGCCCCGACTGCCTCTGATACAGAGGCAGCAAGAGGGGGAGTGCATGTAGTTGACAAAATTAACTGATAAGCCCAGACTTATCAGTTTATCGTGTAGTTGTCTACACGCTGATATCCCTAGCGCGATCCTTGGGTCTCAACTTGGAAACAAGATATAATGGTTTAGATTACAATATCAGATATGGGCGAGGATTATAAGCAAGCATTTGAAAGCCTTTAGAGTTTAGTTTGTTTTAGCATCCTGAAATGCAAACAGGTAGAAGCCCAAAGCTCATCTACAACACTATTAAAAGCTATGTATTTTTAAAATATGAAGGAACAAATACTGGCTTTTGCAGCAGTGAGATACTCTCTCTCTTGCCCCATGTAGTCTCATCTTTTTGATAATTCAAAGCCAGCACAGCACACCGCTGCAGTTTTAACCAAAAGAGCTATTAGGGACCATGTCCGATGCAGTTTAATGTGTTGCCATACACAATTAAATAGTTATAATGCATCACAAGTGACTCTCGTAATTCAGGTATGTATTCAATTTTACAATAAAATGTACTAAGCAAAAATAAATCAGTATCACCTGTTAAACTAAACCTCTTTATAATCTGATGAAAACATAAGCAAACAACTAATATTAGAAGTTCAAATTACTT